CTATCTATCTATCTATCTATCTATCTATCTATCTATCTATCTATCTAATCTATCTATCATCGACATCTATCATCTATCTACCGATATCTATCATCTACCCCCACTCCTCTCTCCAACATCTCTCATGATTCCATCCAAAATCAGTCGAAGGCTAATTTGAACCTACACCAACCATCATAGCTGGTTACGTGTTACATTCAACATTTTGCAACCAAGCCCCCCTGCGACTCCATCCACGTTCAAAAACCAGAGGGGAAAGTCCCTTTTTTGGGGGTGGGTGGGGGGGAAGAGTAGGAGAGAACTAGAAATTAAGCGACGGCCGGTCCCACAGAGGCCCCACGTCCTCCCATTTCTGAGCTCCAGGAGGCTGCAGTAGATGGGACCATTCTAGAGTCAACTCAACACCCCCTTAGCCAGACCTCTCCCCAGGACGCGGTTGGGTTCTCCACCCCCATGGCTGAGGTGGACCAGGCTCAAACTCATCTGGTTTGCTTCCCTGGAAAACAAACTTTTGGAGGAACCGGTAGATCCTGGGGGTCTTCTGGACACAGATGTGTGTCTCTTGGCTGAGCGACAAATTCCCCCACCCCATCGCTGTTTCTCATTCAGCGAAAGGAATTCGGAGGTCTTTCTTGCTCTCCATCCAGATTTCTCCCCCCCCCCCGCCCGCCCCCGTGAGTTGACAGGATCTTTCCTAAAAAAAATACCCCCCCCCCCCCGTCCAAGGCATGATGGATTATCAGCAAATATTAAATCTGCAGAGAGCAAATGAAAGCCAATAAATTCATAGAGTGAGGTTCCAATTGTTTTTCCTTGGGCTCCCCGCCACCCCCAAAAATAAAGGCTTGGAATTCGCTAACCCCTCAAAAGATCTCCTGCTTCCTCATAAATACTTCCATGCTCTTAAAAATAAAATAAAAAATCAAGTCTCAGGCCAAGCCAACTTTTGGAAACTCAACTCAACTTGTTGTGTGAATAAATAAGCAATCTAGGTTTACTTTATTATGATGATTACGATATTATCATCATCTCTTTTATTCATTAAACATGAAACTCAGTCAACTGAACATTTAAAAATGTATCACAAATATCAGGATGATATTATTATTAGGAGGGGTGGAGGAAGGAAGGAAAGAAGGAAGGAAAGATTAGGGAAGGAAAAAAGGAAAAGGAAGAAGAGACGGAGGGAGGAACGGAGGAAAGATTAGAGAACAAAGAAGGAAAGGAAAGAAGGGAATTCCATGTTTTTTTTTTTCTCCTGGCGGAGAAAAATCATAAAGGTGAGTTTTATGAACAGGTTTTTCCCTCCCAAGCTGCAGGTCAACACTGCTGGGTTTCAAAACCAGACGGTCGTGTTTCACTTAGCGACCGAATTGTTGGTCTCCATGATGGTCGTTAAGTCGAGGATTTACCCATATAGGTTTATTTGCCTTTTTTAGAGTGTTTTTCTTTCAATATTGTTTGAAAAAGGAAAGGAAATTTCCTTTCCAGTCTTTGGCTCCGTGCACACACACATTATCTTTGGCTGGTGCACACACACACCAACACACACACATCAACACACACACACACACACACACACACACAACCTCAGTTTCCCAAAAGGGTGAAAAAAGAAAACCCCACTTCTGGCTTAGAAAAAGGGAGCCCCATTTGCTTCACACTTTTGGGGGGGTGTTTCGAGTGGCCCCAGGATTTGGGGGTGCACCAGTAACAGGCAGAGGGGGGCTCTTTTCCCTTACCTGAGGAACTGGTCTTTGCCAGGGTCCAAAGGAGAAACATGGCCGCTAATGTCCAGCTCCTGACCATAGAGTCCACCGGCCGCAAGGGCCCACCCTGGAGCACCTGTCTGGCCTCGCCCACCCAGCCAGGTAAGCTGTAACAAGCCAGCTTCTCTTACAGGTGATTTTTGTGTTGGCAAATTGCGTTCTATGGCTAGCTCTTTATGGGCAGGAGGGGTGAAAGGTGCCCCCAGAAGCTGGGATTCCCTCTTTGTCCAAAGCCACAAAGTCCTTCCTTCTTCCTTTTCTTTTATCTTTCTTTCTTTCTTTCTTTCTTTCTTTCTTTCTTTCTTTCTTTCT